ATGGCCTGATTTTGGTAAAAATACATGTCTGTTTTAGATTTTATGTTCTAAATGTTAATTTCGGAAGTGGTATTTCTCGCATTTGTACTTGAGTGAAAGGAAGACCTTTGAACAAAATAAAAAAAAAGAAAAAAAAAAGAACAGACCCGATTTTTTGAAAAATTTTAGTCGGTCGCGGAGGGCAACACATTTTTTTTTTTTGGCCTTATGTAGTGGAAGACAGAGCTCAACATTCAAGCAACAAATTTACCACCGCACTCATTTAATTACCATCTGAATAAAACAAAGCAATGTATAAAATTTTCAATCATTACATATTACAGTAAACAGTAAAACAATTAACTTACTTCTGTAGTACTTTAGTTGCATATTCATTGGTGCAAAGTGGCTCTTCTCCAACAGGCATATGAATGATGCATTTAACATTTACAACTTCTGACATATCTAATTCAACTATAATTTAAAACAGCACAAAAATATATTTAGATAAATAATCATTACCTCATTGTTTGACATTTAAAAAAAAAATTTCTATTTCATTTCATGCCCTAATTAATCAATTGTTCATGTTCATCCTTTATCAATTCAATTACAAACACAATGAAATTTACAGAAAATTCTGTAAAATGGCATTCGTAGAGCAAGAAACAAACATGAAACAATCCCACACTATTTCCTGAAGGGAAATTAAAGGAATTTTTAGATTCCATAGATGCCAGAGGTTTCTCAAAGAATCAAACCGGATGTGGTATTGGTGAACAACACAAATCTATGCCTATGATATGAAACCGAATTCTAAAACCTTATCACACTATACTATCTGCCTAGTTTAGATTGTAATTTTAACTTTTTGTCCTTCGGCTAATTTTTTTTAGTTCAAAATATGTTTGTAAAGAAACTGATATATTGTAACAATTTTCTGTACACTCTATGGAAACTTATTGCACTTAGAGCAGTTCAAAGTTGCCTACAGTAAGGCTCACAGGGCCAAAGGACATTTTTCAATGCCATAATTAATTTCTAATCACTTTATTTCTTATTTTACAAACGTTGCTGCATTCAGCGTAAACAAATTGCCATCACCTCTAAATGTGTATAGTACTCTTTCAAGTAAATTTTATGCATAAAAATGTAAGATGAAAAACCTGTTTTTATTAAAAGAAATTAAACATGAATTGATTGAGGATTTACTCAGTAATCTTTATCCAACCCAGGACCCGGGACTGGATGAAATTCCAGCACGTTTTTTAAATGATGGTGCTTCAATTCTTAAGGTTCCAATTACTCATATAATTAATCTCTCCATATAAACAGCTAAAGTTAAGTCTCGGCACAAAAATAATTCAAAAACAGATGTTAATAACATAGGCCTGTTAGTATATTAAGTGTATGTTCATAAGGTTCTTGAACGAGTGGTATACATTCAAGTTGGTGTTATTAATGAATGTAACTTGCTGTATGAACACCAATCATGTTTCCAAAAATCATTTTCCACAGACACGTGTTTAATACATTTGATGGACCAAATCAAAGTCAATATGACCAAGGGTAAGCTTACAGGTATGCTCCTGATGGATGTGGAAAAAGAATTCGATCGTATTAATTTTGAAATTTTGTATAGTAAATTAAATAAAATTGGCTTTAAATCCATTAACTGGTTTAGAAATTACTTGTCAGGAAGAAAACAAATGGTTGAAATAAAAGGTGTCACATCACATAAACTGGATGTTGCATGTGGTGTCCCACAAGGTAGTTTACTAGGACTCCTTCTTTACGTTATTTATATTAAAGACTTAAAGGCTAGTGTCGATGATGACTGTATCATATCTGTATGCTGACGATAGTGCAATTACTTTCTCCCATTCTAATTATAAAATAATTGAACAAAAACAATAAATGGTTTATTGACAATAGGCTATCATTACATATGGGCAAAACAGACTTTTTTTTTTTTTATTAAAAAAAAAAGTTAATAAGATAAATAATTTTGGTATTGAAACAACTGGTACCAGTAAGATAGCTGGAAGTAATTCAATTAATTATTTAGGTGTATACCCTCGATCAAAATACGTCTGGAAATAAAATTACAAAGAATGTCATTCACAAAGGCAAATGAACGTTTAAAATTTCTATATAGGCAAGCATTTTGTCTAAATCGGCAGGGGCGCAGGGTACTTTGGTTCGGTCTCATTAAACCCTTATTTAATTATTCATCTTCTGCTTGGTTGCCTGGTATATCTTCTGAGCTAAAAAGGAAGCTTCCGACCTCACAGAACAAAATCATTCCTTATATTTTGAATCTTGGTTTTACAGTAGTACACATGTTGGTCAATCCGAACGTTCGATTGTTGGATTACTAAATTTTAAAGATAGGGTTGAATACTTAAGGTTGTATCACGCTTTTAAGATTTAGAATGAGACCAGTCCCTCCTATATGCAGGATTTTTTGCATAAGTTAAATAGTTATTGCCATAATACTAGGGGCAGCAACAACAATAATTTCAGAGTTCCTAGTTATGTTGGCGATGCTCATAATAACTTTTTTTCCAAGCAATAAAAAACTGGAATGCCCTCCAAAGAGATATAATAATGTGTCCCTCACTTGATTTAAGATTAAATTTAAAGAATACCTTAAAAAGCAATCAATAGAGAAAATGCCCAGGTTTTGTACGTTTAGCTTTAACTTTTTATGTTTCAACACTTTATCAATTTCATTTTTTTCTTTTTATGACCTTTTTTTTATATACATTCTTTTTTTAGGTGATGGTTTTTTAGACCCCATTGGAAGTAAGTCTTTTTGGCCAAAATGGCCTGTCTAGGCATCCCCATCATTCTGTTCGAAAGGTGTATATAAGTAAAACGATAATACCATTTTTACTCTTTTACTAATGACTATATTTTAATGCTATTTTAAAATTCTGGCTTTGGGCCTTTTTATCTATCTCGATGTAAATTGCTAAATTGATGTTCGATTTTTGCAATGTTGTTTTTTAATGATGCCGAATAAATTCAATTGCTCCTTCCTGCAATAACTTTCCAATAGTGTATAAAAAATTGTTGTATTGATTAATAGTAGTGACCCAAAGATTTGTAACCTTCTGTATATGTATGCACTTGACCTCAAGATTGAATAAAGCATACATTAAAAAATTAAATATTGAACTACTTTAGAAAAACAATTACCACAGGCCGCTTTGGTTAGATGTTCAAATATTATTGCCCTTTTTTTATAATACGGTAATAGTGTACTATGTATTATGAAACATAAATCTTTTTAATTAAAATATACTTACCGCAGACCATTCCTATCTTTGCTGGATGTTCAAATGTTATTGTCAACTTGTATTGTGAAACTGTTGAAACTTCAAATAGTAAAACATCAGATTCATCTGAAAGAAACATTGCGAGTTTGAGTTAACAGTTTCAAATTAGTATGTGGACATTGGGATTAGTTTTGATAAAAACATTTAAAAAATGGCCACTAAAAGATAAGTTGCATGACGCATTTTATCTCGGTCAGTTATTTTCTTTACGTAATGTCAGAAATGGAGTGGTAAGATCATGTTTATGATTTACAAAGCATGCTTCATGCTAAAATGAGATGAGACAGAATCAGTTAGTGGCAGTTACAGCAAAGTTTTACTCTAGCTTACTGAGAAACCGAGAACCTACTGTGCATGATAAAAATCAACTGTTCTGTTTAACCGAGTGAGATTGAAAATTGATTGTGTTTGAAAGCAGCCCTTTTGGCATTCCATATGAAACCGGATGCGAAAGTATGTATGTTTAATGTTGCTAATTTTGTGTTCCTGTAAAATCACAAAGTCAACTGACAGACACAGCTAGGGAATGCAGAAATATGTAAGTAAATCATTATACCTCCATGCGTACACAGTGTCATGTGGTCGGAAGAACTAAAGATCCAATAAATAACAAAGGTAAAAGTAATTATTTTTCCCCCAATTAAGCTGATATATCGAATTACAGTATATTAATTTCTTGAGATGGAGACTTCGATGATCCCCAGTCCAATTTTGAAGTAAAATTTATTCCTATGTATTTATAAGAGCTAACCTGAGCCAGAGAGTTTAAACCAATATTATATACATGAGCACTATTTTGTAGCCTTGATGACCTAGTTATGCGCATCGACTTGCACTTTAATGAGTTAAGGAGCATCTTGTTAGTTATGCTCCAATTAAGAATAATATTCAAATCATTTTGGAGCGACTGCTGGTCAGCAGAAGACCTAATGGCTCTATATAAAATTGTATCGTCCGCATATTGTAGAACGTGTGTAGATTGTGTTTGAAAGCAGCCCTTTTGGCATTCCATATGAAACCGGATGCGAAAGTATGTATGTTTAATGTTGCTAATTTTGTGTTCCTGTAAAATCACAAAGTCAACTGACAGACACAGCTAGGGAATGCAGAAATATGTAAGTAAATCATTATACCTCCATGCGTACACAGTGTCATGTGGTCGGAAGAACTAAAGATCCAATGAATAACAAAGGTAAAAGTAATTATTTTTCCCCCAATTAAGCTGATATATCGAATTACAGTATATTAATTTCTTGAGATGGAGACTTCGATGATCTATGTTGTTAGTTTTTCAGAAAGGTACTTTTCGAATCCCAGACGTTTTTAGAGACTCTCTCTGTGAGTCCATTATGCCTATAGCCATTAAAATAAGCATAATTATAATATAGATGATAATGAATTAAACAGTGAGTACCTATATTGCCGTTTCTAAAGCAAAATACCACTCGCACTGTGAGTACACTAATTTCCAGTCTTGAAGCAAAATATCACCTGCCCAGACCACTATTAATACTTTTTTGTGAAACTTTATGTATCGACTCTTAGGAACCTGTGTTTCGCTACATTAAATTAAATTTTATGTCTACAAATATCATAGTAGGTGCATATTATGTATACTTTTTATCTCATAACACTGTTTCTAATTATGTCATTTATTCAGTTTCTGAGTGGTTGTAGAGGCCATACTCTTAAAAAAACACACCTTACCAATCTTAAAGTCTTCAGCCAAATACCGGTATACAAAAAAAGGGTTTGTCTTTTTATTAACAATTTTTAAAATTTTGATTGAACCTTATGTGCAAAGCCCACTCTGTTTGCTGAACGAATCTAGCAATTGCGATGTAGTATAATAACATGTTTGCAATCAGCTCCCACCATTAGATACCAGCGAACTCCCAATTTTCCTCCCAATGTTCCTTCCAGCAAGAGCAACACCGATAATTTGTGAATGGGAAGTTTGGAATGCCTTGAATAGGTTAAAGAGTAACTAGTCAACCCACCCCTCAGACGTACCTATCAGAATAATTAAGGAATTTGCAAACGGGCTTGCTAACCCTCTTACATGAAGAACGACAGTTCGTGTGCCGAAACAGAACAAAATTAGCTCCTTTGATGATCTTCGTCCAGTATTCTTAACCCTGTTCGTACCAAGGGCGGTGATTTCCGCCCAAATTCCCTAGGGAGCGCCTGTGAAGGGCGGAAATTTTCACTGCGGAAAAAGTTAAAAAACCCGAAAAATACCTTCTGTTTACAACACGAACTTTACTATTTCTAGTAACTGCAAGCCTTTCATTGTTCTTGACTTGGGTCAAGAGGTCATAGTTCTTGCTGATGATCGTATAAACTCGATTTGTGCTAACTAAAAATTCTCTACACTTATCGTTTGAAAATCATAACTAATATTTTGACATCGCGATTTGGAAATGGCCGCCGTTCAACACTACACAGCCGAAGAAGCGCTGGACTTAGTTTTTGACGCAGAAAGCGATGTCGAAGAAGAGGATTTAATCCACAATTTTACACAACCTGACGATGAAGATGATATGTCGGATAGACAGGGAAACAGCAGCGACGACGACATGGATGAAGATATTGCTGGGCCTAGGCCTAGGCAAAGAGTAGCCAATACATTTGAATGGAAGGATCGTGCCTACGAATATGCTTGGTTGGGTGAGTATACTGAAAACGCTGGGCCTAGGCTACATGACGTAGACTCGTCGATCTACGATTTTTTATATATACTTTTCATATACAAAATGAACTCCAAAATTTACAAATCATATATCAAAAGATAGCTAAATGTATAAGGAACATATGTTTTTTAAAATGTTTTTTCATAAATTTTACAGAAACAGTCAACAAACACATGTAAAGAGAGTAGCCTTCAAAACCAGTAATAACAAGTGATAGTACTAAATATAATACAGTTTCCTGTGGTAGTACACACTGGGAAATTTGGTATGTTAAGGGTTAACACCCGTTTTTGCAAAATTGTTTGAGCTATTGACTGCCAAATGGATTATTGAGGAAATTACAGATAAACTTGATATCAAACATTATGGTAACACTAAGGGTTCCTCTACTGTACATTACCTTGTTGACATGTTACATTTTGTTTATGAAAACCTGGTTAAGCCCAAACAATTTGTTGAACTCTGCACAATAGACTTTACAAAGGCTTTTGACAGAGTTAACCATACAATTATTATAAGAAAATTGGTTAAACTTGGAGTTTGGTCATCCATTATTCCCACCGTCTGCATCTTTCTGTGTGGTACAACACATAATACCAAACTTGGCACACACTTATCTTCCACCAGGACAATCTCAAGAAACTAAGTTGGGACCCATACTATTTCTAATCTTAGTTAATGACGCTGCCATCTAAAGCTGTAGGCGGTGAAAATTCGTGGAAAACCTAACTTTAGGGGAAGTAACCAGATGTGGAACTCCATCAAATTTACAGAAACTCCTTGATAATGTCAGCGATTGGTGTATTTTGAATAATGTTCAGCCTAAGCCAGCTAAATGCAAAGTAATTAAGTAATTAACTTTTTAAAACGTTAGCAGCTGAATTTGCAATTTATTGTGTATTATTGATAATTTTAATCTCCCAATTGTTAAAGAATTAAAGCTGCTAGGTGTCATTTTACAAAATGACCTTAAATGGATTTCAAATGTTAATGACATAACCACAAGAGCCTCACGTAGATTATTCTCTCTATGTATACTGAAAATGTCTAGTGCTCCAGTTGATAACCTAGTTACTGTTTTCACTTCTTATGTAAGACCTGTGCTTGAATATACCTGCCAGGTTTGGCATTCGTCTATAACGGTACAGCAATCCAATCAAATCGAGAGAATTCAGAAACGAGCATTAAGAATAATCTCCGGTTCTCATTATGTTAGCTATAAATTAGCACTTGAAGAGTTACCTACCTTCTCAGAAGCACCGTAGAAAAACCCTTCTCCTGAAAATTGTTAGGAGCCTAGACTCTACTAGATTTAGAAACATGTTGCCTACATAATAATAATAATAATTAATAATAATAATTTATTAGGAACTACACTTTTCAATCAGTGGCACAATTCTCAATCGAAGGTGCGTCCAAAACAATATGTACAGTGAAGTTCACAAAAAAGACATGCTAAGAAAAAGACAATTCAAATTTTCAAAAGGGACATAAGGAAAAGTAAAAAAGAAACTTTCAACCACATAGTGTGAAAAATATACAAGATCCTTAAGGAGCAGTGATAACAAAGAATTGAATCCTCCCAGATGTCATATTGAGAGATTTAAGAATTCAAAAATCCCATTCCTTGTAAAATTATTGTAAATTTTTTTTTGTTTTTTAAATGCCTTTGGCTGTTTTTATATTATGTATTAAACTTTCGTAAGAAGTTGGTATTGGTAATCCAACCATTTCAGCTTTTGCTGCTGGTTTGGAATTCGATGTTTCGATGTTTTAAACCTGAACGAATAAAAAAAAAAAATTAATAATAAATTGATGCTTGAATAGCGGATAACTATTTAATTTAGCCTAAGCTCTGTGGGTTATACTTTTAAAAAATTGTATTAAACTGAGCCTGTTGTTTTGTGCAAATAGCAATTAATTTGATCTATTATTTATTTGTTTTACAAATTAATTAATTAAATTAAAATGTAGCAACTTTACTAAAAATCAGGAGGGTAGGATATTGCTTGAAAAATTGGGTGAAACCCACCAAAGTTGGGAGCTCCAGATATAATATAGGCTAAAAAAAATATAATGGTAGGTTTCTGCATCATGTTAAAAAAACAAATGAAAATTGTAAAACAGTAAACAAAAGGCTGCTAAATATTTCAAATTGTAAAATTGTGAAACTAAAGGGCTGTACAGTATGCACACATACTAAGCATATTATACAAAATTTGGAATAATTTACCTTTACAAGTATCTGAGCGTACACAGCTGGCAAGGAGTGTGTTGTACACTGCTTGTTGTCTTAATGCTGTAACTATGGCAATAGCTTGACTTGTACAGGTGAGTGGAATAGTTGATACCATAACACCTTTCATATCTTTGTTGCATTCACTGATGAAATAGCAGTGCTGCTCACCCGGTAGGTTCTACATTACAATTTCAAACATAAGATGATTTTGATCTCTTTCATACTCAAAATAATTAATTTCAAATCCAATATGGTAATTATGAAAATCTACAATCTGACAATTAAAATAACATAAAAAGCAAAAGGCAAAAAAAACCCTTATACAATATTTATTTGTGAGTCACTAGAATATTTTAAGGTTATTTAAATGAAAATAATCTTCATTGCAGTCTAGGTAAACAGAGATTGAATTTACAGTACAATAACTTAAATATAGTATTGGTAAAACAAATAAAATTTAACAATAAGATAATAAGATACCTACTTCCACCAATTATGAGCACAGTGGAATTCTTTATTGACTTACCACATAGAATTTGTTCTGTGCAAGTGGTCTAGAATCTGCAGGTAATTTTGGATCCTGAGCATGGCGGCATATCAATGAATTAAGAGGTGCAGCTGATGACAAACCTATTCCTTGAACTGAAAAGAAACACTAATAAATTTAGAGTTTCTTAAAATCATAACTATAGTGTGGTAGTTAGGATCCCGAAAACAGGCCCAAATTGAGAAAGTAAGTTAGATAAGCAATTTTGGTTTTTTCTTGATGATGGTCAGAGCAATCTCACTGAAACGTCGAGACAACCAACCAGTGGTTTTAGCTCAAAACCATGGTTTTACACATGGTGCATGATTTTGTTAATTCTGGTTTATGTTATGTATATTGCAAAAGTTTACTAGAACATCATGCCAGAAATCCGCTAAAAAATGCATGTGGTATTGAAGATAATGTTTTATGTTGGTTTATTTCTTACTTTTCTAATAGATCACAAGTTGTTTAATCAACTTTATCAGATCCTAAACCTATTAATGTGGTTTTTCTCAAGGTTCCATACCTTTGTATCCTTCAAACTCAGCTGGATCATCATGTAAATATCGTAAAAAGGTGTGAATACAGTAGACTTACTAACTAAACCAGAGCCTTGCAGGCATCAACATTCCTATGCATGATACATGACATCATTAGGAAATATAAGGTTGGGTAAAATTTTGTGGAGGAGTAAATATTGTGTGCTCGAGTATTTAAAATTTAACAGTAATGGGAAAGAGACACATATGTCCGAAAAGTGACCGAAAGTGGGGGCCAATCTAGGCAACACTACCCAAGCATTGAATTCAGTCACCCCAATAACATATACTTAGACACCAAATTTGCCCTTTTCATTGAATACAAGTAAATTCATGAGCCAAAATCCGAATTACAAAAAATATGTTCTGCCCATTTTCTGGAGCGCACATCTGTTTTAAAGCGCACGTCTGTAAAGTTTTCTTGAAACCTCTCCTCGAGCATGAAGAAAACAATGGAATCCCTTGCCCGCCCGTCTTGCTCAAATTCTGTATTTAGGCACAGGGCGGATTAGGCACATGGGGCGAAGCTCTACAGTATTTTTGTTTATGTTAAGTGTAACTGATTGGCTTCAGTAAACCATTGAAATCTGGGTTCACGCTAACTGATAGCCAAGTCGCCATGGGCGAAAACAATTTTGAATTGGCGAAACAAAAAACAACTACTTTAGCCATTTTGGCGAAAGCTTAAAAATAATAAAAATGTTTTTTTTAAATACTTGCTGAAATACATTTTTTCTTTCGTCCGACCTCTCCATGGAAATATTTTGCCATCGGCATGATCAAGGCCAAGATCTCCATTTTACGCTACTCCATTGCCAGTGCCATGCGACATTTATGTGTGTTGTTCTATTAGTGTGACTACAAACGTCACTGTGTGTATCGCAAATTATTTTGTTCTTTTAAAGTGGGCAGCGTAACAATCAGTGGCTGGATGGTAACGACTATAGGGTCATTCCATGTCAAATCACCCAATGGGTTTAACCCGACCGACTCCGATTTTGATGAAAATGTGTATACATGTTGGGTTTGGCATCAAACGGCCAAATTTTTATTTTCAGCAAAATCCGATAATTATTTTGGGAGTTACAACACGCCCTAATTTGGCATTATTGGCCAACATTTAAGCCTCAATATCTCAGCAGTGGGTTGGCCAATATTCATAAAATTGGTATTTCTGAAAAGAGAATTAACTGAGGAATTTAAATCTGCCATTATTTTGTGTCATTGACCATATGTAATGTCAATGACCTTTTGACGTTCTTTTTGACCTAGAATTTGACCTTGTGGATCACGCAGTCGTGAAATTATAACTATGTAAATTGTGGCCCCAGGTGTTAGCTACAACATATAAAAAAATTGGAGATGTAAAAAATTTTATAAGTAAGTAATATTTAATCAAACTTTGCTTTCTTGGGCAAAAAACCTCAAAATTGCTGGGTTTTTTTTGACAAAATAAAGTATTGTAAAAAATGAAATTAAAGAATTCTATGAAAGTGATAAATGCAGCTGCATGTGCACCGGAATGAAAGACAATGTGAGTGTTAGGGACAGGGATGGTAACAAAATGAAACACCAGAAGCGTCTTGTGCTATAACCTTGAAGAAATTTTTGCTGCCTTGAAAGAAAAGTTTTCTGAAAAGAAAGCTGGATTCTCTAAATTTGCCGCCTTACGGCCAGAGTGGTGTGTTCTTGCAGGAGCATCTGGAACGCATGTTGTATGTGTTTGTAAATACCATCAGAATCCCGCATTAATGGCAGAGGCTTGCTTAAGATCGTCAGTGAAAGACCTCATGAAACTATGTGTGTGCTCCTCAGAAAATGAGAATTGTATGATGGGGCACGGCAAAGATTGCCCTGAGCAAGATGGCTTGATAGATCATCTGAGCAATTGTGAAGAGCTCATTGATGTTGAAGAAGTATTTACAGGACAAAAGTGACTACAATAATAGAAAGAAAAAGCATGAAAACTTCTCTTCTCAGGTGTTGAAGTTAACACGCCATAGCTTCACTGCTAAATCACAAACTAATTACATGCAGAATTTGAAAACATCAATGAAAGAAATTAAGGAGGTGGTCGTACAGTGTGATTTTGCTGAGAATTACTCATATGTTGTTCAAAATGAAATACAGTTATTCCACTGGGAAAACAAGCAAGCCACCCTCCACCCATTCGTTTGCTACCGTAGACTTAATAATGGGACCCTTCAACACAGAAATATGTGTGTATTTAGTGATGTTAGGGATCACAATACTGTTATAGTTTTTGCCTTACTAAAAACTGTTATTCCACAGCTGAAAGTTGAATTTCCAGGCATGACCAAAATACATTATTTCACGGATGGTTGCGCAGGACAGTATAAGAACAAGTACAATTTTATCAACCTGTGCAATCACAGTGAAGATTTTGGTCTACAGGCGGAATGGAACTTTTTTGCCACCTCGCATGGCAAAAGTGCTTGTGATGGTATCAGTGGTACAGTGAAAAACTGTTAACAAAAGCCAGTTTACAACGTCCATATAGTGATCCGATCTTGACAACGGATGCAATTACAGCATTCTGTACATCTAACTTCCCTGGGATACAATTTTTCAACATTGGACGTGACGAGATCAATGGATATGAGGACAAATTGAAGGATCGTTTTGAAACAGCGAGGACAATCAAAGGAACACTTAAGTTTCACCGATTCATTCCAATTTCAAAATCTAAGTTGCATGCATTCAGATTGAGTGCTCAAGCTGACCTACCATATTTGGTTTCAGTCTCTAATGCTGAAGAGGACATGGCAGATGAGGCTGATGTAAGTACCATAGCATCTGATATAAAGCAACAGAATTATGTGTGTTGTAACTATGACAACGAAGCATGGATAGGCCTTGTGAAGGAAGTTTCAGAAGAGCATGGTGACTATTACATTAGATTTCACCTGGCCCAATAAGGAGGATAAATGTTGGATTACTGAACAAGACATCATTTGTGTGATTGAAGCACCATCTCTTGCAAGTTCACGCAGAATGTACAATATCAGCAAAAATGACAATGCAAAAATAGCATGGATTTGGAGAAAATGGTAAGAAAGCAGTCACTGTCACTGATTTATATCAAATAAACTGTAACAAGTGAGTTCAAGTTCAGAGGTTTGAATAAAAAATGTCTAAATTGCATGATTAAAGTTTGATATTGAAGGTGATTTCTATTTAGTAGGCCACTTATTGTCAAAAAACAGTAATTTTTGTGGTATTTTCCTCAGACAGGTCAACTTTAACTAATATTACTTGTTTATAAGAAACATTACATCTCCAATTTTTTTATATGTTGTAGCCATCACCTTGGGCCACAATTTACATAACTTATAATTTCGTAGCGACATAATCCACAAGGTCAAATTCAAGGTCAAAAAGAAGGTCAAAAGGTCATTGTCATTAGATATGGTCAATCATACAAAATAATGGCAGATTTAGATTCCTTATTATTTAATTCTCTTTTCAGAAATACCAATTTTGTGAATATTGGCTAACCCACTGCTGAGATATTGAGGTTTAAATGTTGGCGGCCACTCCCGTTTTTGTCAATATTGCCAAGTTGGGTGTGACGTAACTCCCAAAATAATGACCCGATTTTGCTAAAATTTGAGATTTAATTTAAAGTATGGAGTTGTTTTTCATAAGAAAAACGTACAATTGACTTCAAAGGAGTCTCCTCTTCGTCTCGCTGTCCACGAGTCGGCAGGAACTTGTTTGTACTGCTGTATTATTTTTTTTTTTTATTAATTAGCCTGGCCTAGGCTAGCCTATTTTTTTATTTACAATTATTTTACCTCTTTTACTGTTAAAAAAGATGCCCTCAATGACAATACACACACGTGAAAAGATTGTTCATCAAATAATACTTTGTAGCCTTGATTTAGTACGATAAATAACAAATAGAGAGAGTTAACGTCCGTTAATTGTAATTAAATTACCGAATGTCACATGTAAAACCCAATGGAAAATAAAACTTGGCAAAATGCCAGTTCATCTTGTCAACCCCAAAAATCCAGCATCAGACAGAGTGCGCGCCAATCAGAACACAGTAAAATGTGTTAAAGGTTAACCTTGTGGCAAATGTTGAAAAGCTGTGAGCGACAGTGAGTAAAAGATGAAGAAAATGAGGTCTAGCATGACTAGCCTTACTTCGGCAAAGTAGTGATTTCTGTAGTTCATTAGTATTGGATCGCTTAGCAGGTTCTGCTTCAAATTACGGTAAACAATAAACAACGTGATCTTTAAAACCCATTCAGTCCCATAAGCGATTTAAGCGCTCTCTAATTATCGTCAGTAATTAATTAATTAATTAACAATAATTTTTAAAAAAATGTATGTGCAGTAATGTGTGCATGTATTTTCATTAAATATTCGAGAAAATATCAAAAATTTTTATAAAAAAATGTTTCTTGGTGCTTTATTAATTAACTTGAATGATTAGAGTAATTAAAAATATGAAATATGATCGTTATTTTTGTAATATGATACCCTTGAACGGGAAGGCACCGCCGTCAACACTGATGAATAAAATCGTCTAAAAATACACTTTT